AGATCTTCTAGGCTGCAGGCATGTAGGTATACACACTTTTTTTTTTTTTTGCCTCAGAAAAGGGTTATCACTAATTCCACTTAATTGTGTCAAAGAACCAGGTAAGATCTGTTACTAGAGTCCAGGTTTTTGACCTAAAGATCTATTTAAAAAAAAAGTGAAAGGATGCCTGAATTCCAACTGGACTCAATACTAGATTGTCTAGTCAACCAGTACCACTAAAGCTACGCTCAGTTCACATATGTGAACCTCACAGTGCTTTATTGTGTGTACTTGAGTGGCTACTGTCATTGAGTGACACTAGAGGGCTTTAATATCTGCACTTATTACCCTTCCTACTGGTATCAACCAGCTGTTGTTCTTCTTTGTTAGTGGGCACTCCTCCTTGTCCAAGGCCACAACACCAAGAGAAGATCTCTGCAGGCTGGCACCCACCAAGTCCTCATTTGTCTAACTACCACTGAGGCCCTGCCTTCTTGCCGCCTGTGCATTCACCTGGCTCAGTTCCCATTTCCCTATTTGGATGTGAATGTCACTTAGCCAGTTTGCCCACATGATTTCCCAGACCCAGGAAGGGACACGCCTTGATGCTGAGAGATACAATCGCTGCTACCACCATGGAAAGGAAAGCCCATCCTTGGTATGGGTCACATGCTTTTCTTTTCTTTTCTTTTTTATGTCAGAAGCTGTGCTCATGTCATCCATTTTGGTGGGGCATTTCTCTCTCTCTGACGAATGCCCATTTGTCTTTGATTCTTTGAGGATACAATTTTCCAGCCAAATGGGACTCTTGTTTATGCTTAGGATTCCAGACTTCAGGGACATCCCTTAATCCAACATCTCTGCCTCCAGGCAATGCCTTTTTTCAGAGAATCTGAGAAATTCTGTACATTCTTAAAATAAAAAGGTGAGATGTAATTATAGGTCCTGACATTTCCAGGGAATGATCTGGAAATTACATAGAGTAGTTCTGAAATAACCTCACTTCATTTGCAATTTCCCTTTGATAAAGTTAATTTAGGTGGTCTTGACCCTGGTCAGTGCCCCCACTTGCCCTTTTCTCTTGAGTTTGGGGACTCTATTAGAGCTGTGTCTAGAACCTTCTCACAGCTTACTTAAGAGAGAGATAAGGCTCAGGGAATTTGGGGTTCTTACATGACTCTGCTTTGCACAAGGACTCAAGGGCACAGGGCTCCCTCCTTCTCAACTTTCTACACATAGGCCCAAAGTGAGATTAAGTCCATGCAAGTTTAGGATCCAGCCATAAAGTAGTAGTGGGATGTGAACAAGTCACAGTTGCCCTCTGGGGCCTCTCAGTTTCTCATGTGTAAAATGAAGTGGTTGGACAATGAGCTGCTCTTTTATTCTGGTTCAGTTCAGAACTCTAAATGCACCGAGGGATTATTTAAATGATAAGGCTGGATTCTTGCTCTCGGAAAGTATCTTGATTAGTGCCTGGAATGAAACAAAAAGCTCTTGAGCCCTACTGCGCACGCACCAGGTACCATTCAAGGAACTTTGAGCTCACAATTCTTAGTGCAACTTTTAGAGACAGGCGTTCTCATTTCTGATATGGCTAAGGAAAGTAACTGGCCTAGCTAGGCAGTGGCAGACGTGGGTTTGACCCCAGTTCTGCTAGTCACTAAAGTCCAAGTGTTTATTGTCCACCCAGACCATCTTAGATACTTGCGGAATGTGATAAGTGCTACAACAGACATGCAAACAAGGCACTCTGGGAACATGGTGTCTTCATGTTTCCAGTGGCTTCCTTCCCTAGCCAAGGACTCAGCCTTGCCGCTTGTGTCCTGGCTGAGCTTATTCAGGGAGTCAGGCACCACACAGCTCTCTGCCAACCTCCCATCACTCTGATGCTCAAAATAGAATTTATTTTTTACTTTTCTTCCAGGAATGTCAGCCCACTTGTAACAATAACAATAAACCTTTCTACACGGGTACACTGCTTCAAGGTTTACAAAGCACTTTTGCATCCATTATCTCATTTAATCACTCCCTCCTCTACATTCCTACAACATATTCTTGGTATCTCTGTATTACAACAATCTGCCTTGTCTAATAGGCCTATTTTCCTTTATTGTGTTCATCTTGGCTCACAAGTTCGATCCCATGCTTCTATGCACAAAGTAGGGGCAATAAAAGTTTGCCATATTGAATCCTCAGTGTTGTGGATCCTTCTCATCGCTGCATTCATTCCCCCTGTGATTCAGTGGATGTTTGCCTATGAAGGGCATGACTGGGTTCTTTGGGGGTAAATTAGGAGAGGAGAGGAGAGGAGTACAGACCAGCTGGAGGAAGACAGAAGTGAAGGACTCCGACACCTGGTAGGCCATGGTGCATACTACAGCAGAGTCTGGAGTGACTGTTTAGTTTTGTCTAGGGTAGGTGGGAAGCAAGAATGCTTCTTGGAAGGGCCACACTCAGCAGAGATGGAAGGTAGGGGTGAAAAGACTGACAGGAGACAGAATTTGGAAGGGCCACAGATTTGATCCTTGGGAAAGAGTAGGTAGCTGTTGGAAAATTATCCTTAAAAAAAAAAGGGAAGGAGGTCTAAATGGGTAACTTTTCTAGGGCAGAGGAGTCAAATGGTTGCAGTTCTTAGGAAAAGAGGAACTCCTGCAACACTCAATTAACGCTTAGAAAAAGCGCAGGGAGCACAATTGTCTGGCAATTCTTTAGTAAAAAGGGTGAGGGGCCATCAGTCTCCTGCAATTCCTCTCTGTAGAGAGGAGTGCTTTAACTTCCAAATTTCTTCTCTGGTCGGAGGAGGGACAAGTTAGGAATTTTCCAAGTTTTCTTCAGAACTGAAGGCCGGGGATATGCAGCCCCTACTGCCCCTCAGGGGAGGGAGCCGCCCAGTGACCCCCACCAGTGCTCAGAAAAGAGGTATGTTCCCCTAAAGACTCTTCCAGGAAAGGCAGCGGGCCCTGAATTCCCCAAATTCTCCTTAGCAAAGGGGACAGGGGTCGGAATCCCGACAAGTTTTCTCTGAGCAGAGAGCTTAAGTTCCGAATCTACAAAATCATTCTGTTCTTGGCAATTCTCTTCAGAAAAGTGGGCAGCGCAGGCATGAATCAGTAAAACTCTTCTCAGAAGGGGCCAGAGGCAAGATTCTTGAAGGTTCTCCTCAGAACGGAGGCCGGGGGGCAAGAATCCCCATGATTCTCCTCAGAAGAGAGTAGAACCCATGACTCTAGACAGAAAAGAGCCCAGAGGCAACGAAACCCCTCGGGAACAAGGCCGGGCCACAGCTCGCCCAGTGTCCTCAGAGCGCGCCTCATGCGGCCCCGCCCACCTCCCGGCGTAACCGCCCCACGCCCGCCCGGCCCAGACAGCCTCCGGTGCATTGTGGGTGGGGCGCCCCTGCTGAGCACTGCGGGGAACCCCCTGCCCAGCCAGTTGTCGGCCGCCGGGCAGCCCGGCGGAACCCCCCTCCAGTGTCCGAGCTAGCCGACCACGGATTGACGCGTCCCGTAGGCCCCGCCCCTTGAGGTGTTCCCGCCCCAAACCTAAAGCCCCGCCCCCGCAGCGCCCTGACTGGACCTGAGGCCCGCCCCACTCTTCCATTGGCCTTCCGCCCGTCAGTCACCTCGTCCCGCCTCCTTGGGTCCGCCCAGGCCCCCGGCGCGATCCCGAGGGCTAGCCGGCACGTACGCTCATTGGCCGCTGGGTGATGTCCGTCATGAGCCTGGCCACGCCCTCACCGGGGCGCGGATCCCGGGAACCCCTGCCGGACCTCATTGGCCTGCGGCGCCGCCACTCGGTGAGACGCGTCTCAACCCGGAAGTGTGCGAGACGAAATCTGCCTAGCAACCGGGGAA